CACATGATGAATTGTAGCTTTGTTTTTGTAGAAATTAGGAGTTTTGGACGTATGCTTCACTTGTTGTTCTTCTAGCAATAGTTTCTCATATCTTGTGGCAGCAATGACTAATTCCTGTAGCTCATTAAATTGTGTATCATAAAATCTTTTCCTCAAAGGTAATTTCAAAGCCCTTTGAGCAATTAATATGAGCTGAGCTTGGTTAACAGGGAATTGCCACCTCATCCTTGTCTTCCTGAACCTCATCATGAAGTTTTCTGTGGACTCATGCTCGTATTGTTTGACTTCAACCAGATCATTAATAGTCATTTCTGGTTCTATTCTGTAAAATTGTTCATGGAAAGCCATCTCCATTTGCCCCCAATTGGCAATAGAGTTAGGGGGTAATAGAGAATACCACTGGGATGCAAGCCATGCCAACGAATTTCCAAACAACCTTAACTTGTAGTTTGGGTTGTCCTTATATGCCACACAATGATTAGAGAACTTGAAAATGTGATCTCTGGAGGACACACTACTGTCTTCACCCGTGAATGTTGGGAATGCAGGCATCTTGAAGTTGAGAGGAAATGGATTTTATTCATCAATGTATTCAGGATAAGGCTTTTGATAAGTAATCCTGAATACTGGACGAGCTCGTGGTTGAGCATTTTAAACCACTGCCCTCCTCAATTCGGCCAACTCATCCCTTAGTTGTTGAGTAGCTGTATTATTCTGGAAGAGAAGGGCGGACTCATCCTTCGGGTTTCGGTCATTGCCTATGAATGCTTCTTTCTTTGATTTAAGCTTCCTTCAATTGATTCCCCCTCCCTTATGGGCCAAAGGGGGTGGCCTATAAGGAAGAGGTTTGTCTGGGGCCGCGGAGCTTTCTTTTTGGCTGGACTCTCCCGTTGTTATGGGCATCTCATACTTTGTCCTTTCCTGCTCGCTTTGCTTCCTGTTATTAAATGTTAACAACGGGAAGCTAGGAAACTCTTTCCCCAGGACCGACTCTATCACGGGTTGACTTCCTTCAGGAACTGTTTTTTTCTTTCCCCTATCCGCTTCTTCTTCTAATAGTGGAAATAAGGGAATGACTGGCTCACTTCTGATGGTAACCTGAATCATCCCACTCCCTTGAGCGCCTTTTGGAGTGGAAAACTCCAGATCTAGCATTCTCTGTAAATTTCCTGTTAAGGTACACAGTCTACTGACTTCCCTCTTGGTCTCCAAAGAGATTTTTTCCATACTTCTCAGTACTTGTATCATAGTAGCCTGTAATTCCTCATTCGTTCCTTTTCCTTCCGACTTCCCGGATGAAGATGAGCTTTCTAGGACCGCCTGTCCTGATAGGGAAGAAGGATTTCCTGATTGCTCTGTTATTGGTAGCAAATGTTGAGAAGAATCGTTCTTTGTACTCTTTTTGCAAAATTTATGGCCTTTTTCTTTTCTTGGACATACAAGATCCACAAAAATGCGGTCCCACCGGGCGTGCCAAAACTATGTTCGTGGCGGGAATTTCTGTGGGGAATGCTTTCTGGCCGACGCACACAGCTCCCCGATAGGTTGGCGCCGGTTGATGCTTTCTATTGGGCTTCTGTTTTACTAGCGGGCTTGTCGGGCAAGGCTGAAAGAGAAGGACAGACTTAACTTTGAAATGTGCCTTTGTGAGACCTTAGGTGTAGGCCTTGAGGCTTACGATCAAGATTAACTTTTAATTGCTCAGGCGTGCCACTACCATCTTCAACATGGTAGATGTAGAACGGATGTTTGAGTTATAATTATATATATTCGAGATACTACGTTAGTTATTGACAGGTGCCTTTGTGGGGCCTTAGGTGTAGGCCTTGAGGCTTCCCATAAATAACTAACTTAGTACTCAAACACATAAGGTTCCTTTTGTTGGTTATATGGATCTTATAACCATCATACTTCTGATTACCTGAGCTCAAAGAGTAGAATGAATCCAAATAGGTGCCTTTATGAGGCCTTGAATAGGCCTTAGGGCTTCCCATCAGAACCTCTTATGTACTCAATGTTCTTGTCCGAGAAATAGGATGAATCCAAATGTGTGCCTTTGTGGGGCCTTGAATAGACCTTGAGGCTTCCCATCAAAATTTATCCTGTACTCGAACGTTATATGGTCATCATGATATGACAGAAATAAAACTAAGTGGCAGGTCGATTACTTGCGCCCCAAGTAATTTCGGACTTCATGTTTATCAAAGATTGTCGTGGATGGGTTAAGTCCACATCAGGTTCTTTTTTATGCCTTGAGGCCAAGGACTTTTTAGGGTGATCAAATCTTATATGCCCAAGGGCTTAGAACTTAGATATGGCTTGTGTGAAGACATATTCAAATTGGATTCAAGCGCTGAGAGAGTCTTTTAATAGCCATATTACTAGAAATAACTTGGATACAACTTGAAGTATACAACATATTGCTAGGCTAATGAATGAAAAAACAAAAACAAAGAAGGTCGGGCAAGGTTTAACCTTGTCGGGCAAGGCTAATCGTCTTGCAACTCCCTATCTTTGTGGGTTAACAGAAGGTTTGAAAGCTTAGAAAATGGGTTGGAAGGTAAGTTTGCAGAAAGAAAATTGATACTACAGCAGGCGATGAACCGGGTAGCAGAGCTATTACAAAGGGTTTGTCTCGAAAGGGATGAAGGCTTGGGCTGACTACAGCTTCGTTTTGAAGGCAAATCTGGCTTTGAGCAGAGTTTGTGCTTTTGTTTGTTTGTTTGAGTGTCTTTGTTTGTGACTTCTCTTTCTCCTTTTATAGCCACCTTGGCTTGGTCTCCTGTAGCAATAATCTTGCCCGAATGCAGTTTGAAGGATAGTGACTGATCAGCTATTTACTTGTACTGCCATAATAAAGTACTTTTGTGCTGATTAGCTGGCTGGTCTATACCACTTGGCCCTTGGGTAGGTGAGCAAGTGGTGCAAATGATCTGCACCTAGTCGGGAAAGGCCTTTTCTGCTTTCTAGGTCTGGGCTGAGTTTCGGGCTTTTTCTTTTCTTTTTGGGCCAACTCCCTTCTAAGCCCAAAGTTTAAGTTTCAACCCAAACAGTTGCGAACACGTAACACTTAACGATGCAAAACTATTTAACAAATGCATGCCATTGTTCACTATGTAATATTCCAAGTATAAATCACAAAACGTCATACAACCTCGCCAAAACTTAATCGGATTTCGTTCAAGTTTTTGCCCTTTGGGGCTGTATATGCATATGATTCGTTGAGGTTTTTGCCAAATCTTTGAGAACAAACACTAGAAAACAAATTAAGTGTGATTGAGGAAAATCGCATACGTTAATGATTACTAACTGATGATATATATTGCACGTATTTAACAAGTTGCATGCATCAATGGTTGAGAATTACAGTATGTCCCATGTAAGTAGTGTTTAAAATATTTATGAAATTGTCAATATTTTAGGTGAAATATCCGAAAAATCAAAAATCGATATGGAAAATAGAAGATGAAATGCAAACTTCACCTTATAGCTACGAGATAGAGGTGATTTTAATTATCACATACATAAAAAGGGCTCTTCGTTAGTTACATGTATGTTGTTACAGTAATGCAAGTTTAATAAATTGTGATTCATTGTCCTATACAAATCAAACTCACGAGATTTTAGTTACACTCAACAATTATACTCACATTAATTAAAAAAAATTCAACTCATTGTACGAGCTTGTTCAAATTTATAAGAATCAAACTCAAGATTTTCAGTCATTATGTACATTCGAAGGAGATTTGGGCCCTGCAATCAATCACAGATTCACTATGCCCAGTGCCAAATCCGAATCCCACCATAATCCTGCATCAATCTGAAACAGTGATATACAAAAGTGGTTGTGGAAAACGCGTAATTAACAAACAGCTGACAACGACAAAAGATCCCATCAACCATTAATTTATATAAATTCTGTAATAACATTTACATACTTTAACAACTCAGAACATTGTTACAAACTCATATGTTACACCATACACGAAGAATATATAGTAAACAATGTTTATAAAGAACAATTTATTTATTTTCCACATCTACGTAAAGGATTATAATAAGAACAACAGGTCTTTTACCAAACTTTATATTGATTCTGTAATCAACAATTAGTTGCGAACACGTAACACTTTCAACCTAATATTTACATTCGAAGTCTCATTTGGGCCCTTCAATCAATCACAGATTCACTATGCCCAGTGATCCGAATACCACCTAAATCCTGTATCAATCTGAAACAGTGATATTCAAAAGTTGTTGTGGAAAACGCGTAATTAACAAACAGCTGACAACGACAAAAGACCCCATCAATCTGCCCTTTTGAACAAATCAGACAACTCAATATTCCCTCTCAGAACGAACCATCTCATGAAACTCCCCCCCTCTCTCTCTCCTCTCTCTTTCATGGGACCAAACGTATTTACTAAGGAGATGGATAGTCTGTCCTTCCCTTCTCATACAATTCTTATACCTTTCTATTTTTTGTGCGGTCACGGTTAAATCATATCAACATTTTATATCAATTTTTTTTATAAAAATAATAAGATAAAAAATAAATGTTGATGTAATTTAATCGTAACTGCATAAAACAAGAGAGTATGAAGAGGGAAGCGCAGACAATCCATCTCTATATACTAATCCAACAACGTGAGCCACCCATAATAGCTGTCATCAAATTATGTTGTCTGTTCAGACATTCTTGATTACTCGCTATCCACCATGTTGTTCTCCCCCTCCGACTTCGTGGATCTTGCTTACGATCCCATGAATTTGTCAAACTACACGTAGGGCAAAAATAATAAAAAAAAATATATATGTTATCCACATATCTTATTTTACTTTTCACATATTTTTTGATAATTTATGTTAGTAGATCTTCTTCAATTCATCCGATCTGACGGTCGAAAATTAAAATTATATGAAAAGTAAAATAAGTTGTATGAATATCACATTACAAAAAAACGACTGTGTTTGGTTTTTCCGGTCAATGGTGGTTTTGGTCCACATTGTTGTTATCGTGTTCTCACTTATTTGTACCAGCATAATTCAGCAGCTCATTGCAGCGAGGCAGCACTGAGCTCTTCTGATTTCTGATTCTCTCACTTGGGTTTTAATCAGATTCAAGAACCTTGATTTGCTTCTTCAAGTTTGATATTTTCAGGTGATTTCAAGCTTACCCTTTCGGTTTTTTTTTTTTTTTTTTGCTTAATTTGGTGGTTTAAGCTTACCCTTTTGGTGTTTTTGCTTAATTTGGTGGTTTAAAGCTTTACCCTTTTGATTATTTTTATTACTTTATTGCTAATTTTGTTTTTTGATAAATGATAGGATAATTACACCAAGTTCATCCAAACTACGTAGGGGATTCAAACCTGGATACAAAGGGTGGGTAGAGCACACCGCTCCAGCCAATTTGGCTACACTCAGGTTCGCTTTGGCTAATTTGTTGGGTTCTTTTGTATTGGTGTTGTGATGAAATCATGAAAAAGATGGGAGAGGAGTTTTTATCAATTTCATATTATAATCTGAGCCTTTGTCACTTGTGAGAAGCTGTTTCCTTACTGTAATCCGACTTTTCCACTTGCAAGTTGCAGCTTTTGGTTTTATAATCTCAGTTTTCCAAATTTCTGCTTTTAAGACCCTCAGCTTTGTTCCCAAAGATCCCATATTTTTTTTTTTACTTAAGTCCTAGTTTTGATGGCTGGTGGGAGTGGGACTATCAGATTGTTCATAGGGGTTTCTTCGATTTTGTTTTCGATTTGTGTTTCATTGGGGTTTAATCCTGAAGATAGTTATCTGATAAACTGTGGATCTTCAAGCAATGTAACAGTTGGTGGTCGTGTATTTGTATCTGATAAGTCTGCATCAAATCTCCTTTCAGCTCCTCAAACTATTTCAGCCAATGCAATTTCAAAATCCAACTCTTCCTCCTTTGATTCAGTTTTGTACCAAAGTGCACGAATATTTGACAAAACCTCCCTTTACACATTTCCGATTACAAAACAAGGGCGGCACTGGATTCGCCTCTATTTCTCTCCTTTTGTTCATGGGAGCTACAATTCGAGCACATCGAAATTCTCTGTCTCTGCTCAAACTTTCACCCTTGTCAAGGAGTTACGAATGGAGAGCGATTCCTTTGTTATGGAATACTCTTTGAACGTAACTTCTGAAACTCTTGTTCTCACTTTTACTCCTGCCTCCAACTCATTTGCTTTTGTAAATGCCTTAGAAGTTGTTTCGATACCGGATACGATCATCCCTGAGGCTGCTAGAACCATTGGTTCAAAGGAAAATAACCAAAGTTTGACGAACAAAGCATTAGAGACAGTTTTGAGGGTGAACATGGGTAATCAAACAGTGTCTCCCCCCAATGATACCTTGTGGAGACATTGGGTTTCTGATGATTTGTACTTGACGCACAACGGTCTTCCAAGATTTGTGTCAAATGAAAGCGCTGTCCATTACACGCGCTGGCTAACAGAGGATGTTGCTCCTTCTTCTGTCTACGGCACGGCAACTAAGTTGGAAACGATGAAAGAACCTATGTTGAATGCCAATCTGACATGGCATTTCGATGTTGATCCTGGTTTTGAGTATCTGGTTCGGTTTCACTTCTGTGACATAGTCAGTAACAATGCTCAAAGTTTCATCCTCAAAGTTTATATCAATTCGTTGTCTGTTTCTGATAGTCTTGATCTTAGAAGTCTGACATCGAATATCTATGGCACCCCATATTATATGGATGTCGTGATTAGGGCAAGTGATAGCGAGAAGCTAAACGTTAGTGTTGGTTCTAGGCCAGAAATTGTGTATCCTATCATCTTTCTCAACGGGCTGGAGATCATGAAAGTAAGTAATTCTAAGAGCAGCCTTGATGTCTTGGATTCTTCTTCAAAAACAGGCTCTAAGATGAAAGTTGCTATTGTAGTTGGCTTGGCTGTTGGACTATTTACTGCCATCGTGGTGGCTGCAGTCTTGTTCTTGCTGTGCAGAAGAAGAAGAATACTAGCGCACGCCATCCATTCGAATGCAGAAGATGGAGTGTTGAATGAAACGGAAAGTAAAATCACCGACAGTACAGCGATGTTTTCTGTTTCAAAAATTGGGTATCGCTTCCCTTTTGTGGCAATTCGAGAGGCTACAGATAATTTCAGCGAGAACCTGGTTATTGGAGTTGGTGGTTTTGGGAAGGTTTACAAAGGAGTTTTGAAGGACAATACAAAAGTGGCAGTCAAGAGAGGAGCTCCTCAATCAAGGCAGGGTCTTGCCGAATTCATGACAGAAATTGAAATGTTATCTCAGTTCCGCCACCGTCATTTGGTGTCATTAATTGGATACTGTGACGAGCACAATGAGATGATCATTATTTATGAGTACATGGGAAATGGGAGCCTGAAGGACTACCTTTACGGTTCGGACTTTCCGAGCTTGAGTTGGAGGCAAAGGCTTGGAATATGTGTTGGAGCTGCCAAAGGACTTCACTATCTTCATACTGGCTCTACAAAGGCGATCATTCACCGTGATGTTAAGACTGCAAATATACTGCTAGATGAGAATCTTATGGCAAAGGTTGCTGATTTCGGGCTCTCAAAAACCGGCCCTGAGATTGATCAGACGCATGTCAGTACTGCGGTAAAAGGAAGCTTCGGGTATCTTGATCCAGAGTACTTAACAAGGCAACAGCTGACGGAGAAATCAGATGTGTACTCATTCGGAGTTGTGATGTTTGAAGTCCTTTGTGGAAGACCTGTTATTGATCCCTCTCTCCCGAGGGAAAGCGTGAATCTGGTTGAATGGGCAATGAAGTCGCATAATAAAGGGCAGTTGGAGGAGATTGTAGATCCTTGCCTTGCAGGTCAAGTGAAGCCGGAGTCATTGAGGAAGTTTGGAGAAATAATTGCAAAATGCTTGGCGGAACATGGTGTTGATCGACCTACGGTGGGAGATGTGCTATGGAACCTGGAATCTGTGCTTCAACTCGAAGGAAGTGAAGGAAGTAACGGCAGGCTATCTTCGCAAGCTGATCACGTCAACCCCCTGGAGACCAGTGTATCTATTGCAGAATTTAGCATGGGAAGTGCAGGGGACCTTGCTGGCTTCTCGATGAGCAAGGTTTTCGCCCAAATGGTGAAAGAGGACATGAGGTAAACTGCTGAAGCTAAAGAATTTCGGTTTTATTTTTTCCTGTGTTTTTCTCATGTAATATTTGGATGGTGAAAATCCTGAATGAGTGAGTAATATACGGAACCATGTGAGATTCAAGTCAGTTCTCACAAGTCTATAAATATACACTATTTGTAAAACGTTTGATGTTGTTTCTAAGGCTTCGAACTCTAGCAATCAAGGTTTTTACGCTACACTCGATTTATGAGTTTTTCCTTTCCTTCCCTCAGTCGGCAAAAGCAAATGAAAATGTCCTGATGGATGATTCCTTTGCAGAAAACGAATTAACATCTCATTTCTACAAGGATCTGATGTGTCCTTTTTATGCAGAAATGCAAGAATGATAGTGCAAGTCTCAACTTTATACTCGATTAACTTAAAGAGCAACAAGGTTCCAGACTTATGCATTCAGAATTGATAGAATCGTAGAATGTAAGTAGTCTAGTACTGATTACCACACATACGTACATAGTCCTAACAAGGTTACACCTTAAACTTTTCCGGCAAGCATAAAAGCCTTGTAGGTGACTGACCTGACCAATTTAGAGCCACCCCAAGCACCCTCAAACTCTTCAACCAGCTTTTCCGGTAACAAATCCACGCCTTGGTGTTTGGCTGTAATGACCACAGACCATGACCCTACCATCTTCAAAAACCCTTGGAACGACAGCTTCTTTGGAATGTCCAGCGGCAATGGACTCCCCTCGCATCCGAAACCAACACTCTGAAAAGGAAATGGAAGCGTCTTGTAACCATCAAAGATGTACTGGATGTTACGGTCCCAAAAGGGCAGGGTTGTGTCATGAAATCGCTTCATAATAGGATCAAATTCCGGACAAACTTCAATGTCATTGTAGCACCAAACGGCCAACACACCTCCTGGCTTTCTCAGAAGCCGCGGAACAAGATTGTAAAACTTTGGCAGGTCGAACCAGTGCACAGCTTGAGCCACAGTCACCAGGTCGACTGAATTTTCGCCCCCGATCAATGCTATTAATTCGTCGTCTGTAATGGTTAACGGTGTGTGGACATATCGAACACGAGGATGTGGCATTGCACGCTGCAACTGAGCTTCACTCACATCGGTTCCAATTACTTGTTCATAGTGCTCAGCAACCTGTTTAACAAATCAAACCACACACATTATCAATGCTCTCTTGTCAGACTTAAGACAGTCAAACAAACTTTGAGGTAATACCAAAGCAATAATCAACTTGATCAATAGTCCAAACATGCAACCATTGTATATGTTATATACCAAATTTTCATTTTATAATTTTTTTTTGACAAAGCAATATTTTAATATGCTCTAAATTACGAAAAATGTAAAGGATTTAAACTTAAATGCAGAGAAAGAAACACATTTATCGAGTATTTTAAAAGCATAAATCTCACATCAGAAAGCAAAATGATGCATAATATTTTAAAGAATCATGGGCTCTCTTCCAATTGACTATACGATCAAATAATATTCTAAATTACTCAAATTTACGGAGATTCCAACTCTAGTGTGTGGAAAAATTCAAGTCTAAGAAATGCAACAAATTGACAAATGGTGAGTGAGGGGAGAATTGCAATACTAACGCTGACAGCGGCTTGGCCGTTGCCGGTTCCGACATCCCAAGCGAGAGTGTGGTGAGGGGTGAGATCTGCTAGCTTGGAATACCATTCCGTCGGATAAGTTGGCCTGGAATCCAAGTACAAATCCGCTTGCTTATCAAACAATCCTGCCATTTCACTGCTCGATTGATCTTCCTAATTTCTGCTGCCTGCCTGCTGTGCTGTTGATTTATGGTGCTTAATCTGTATTAGCCTGCTCTTAATATCTCCGTATTCTGTACGAAACGAAGAGATTCCTTCACCAAACACAAAGTGACAGATAAGCCTGATGGATGCTAGTAATCCTAATTTTTTTGGATATTGCTAAGAAGATCAATTTTACAAACTAAATTATATGTCATCAATAGAAAATAAATACGTTAATCAACATTTAAGTAACAATCAAACCATCAACAATCACATAATTTGATTTACAAAATTTAATTTAAAAATTTGGTATTTTTAGCATTACCCTTTTTTTTTGTAACTTTGAGTTATGTTATATTAATTTGATTTTACAAATGTTTTAACCTGAAAAAAAAAATTACATTCCCGACAAAATTTTCAAAACCGTACAAATCACAACAACCAACTACTCAACCAATCAAACTTCAATACACACCAACTAAACTTTAAAATTTAAACCAACCACATACTTCAGTACGCACACCAACCAAATTATGTACTTTTCTTAATGTCGATATATTAAGTTTGTGTGATTAATATAATCTGTTCTAAAAATTTATTTTATTATTTTGATCGTTGGATTCAAATTTTATTCTTTGGATTTATTTTTTTTACTATTGGATTTGAGGAAAAAAAAAATATGAACCGTTATAACAAAATCTAATAAAGATTACCAAAAAAGGGATTTAATATGGATCCTTGATCACCAACGTCCTATCGAACGGCTCGGAATCCCCTAAAATGTTATCGTTTTGCAGTTGCTGCCCCTTGCCAATTGGGGCCCAGTTGTTTGCCACTTATCACAAATCCTCTGCCCATTGCTTTAATCTTCACGACTGATTATATATTATAATTGAATTATGTGTTGCCACAACACTCAAGTTAGTATTGTTAATTTATTGTGATAAGTAGGGTTATGTTCTTACTGATTTTTTGAAGCTCATCCTCTACTGTTTATATAGGTTTTGCGAACTAGATAGTTAAGAGGGTAGACAGAATGAGATTGAATTATATATGAGGTTAGAAGTTTAATTTACTTTCAACTTGTTCAATTAGATTATTATTATTATTTTTTAATTTTTTAGCTTGCAATTGAGGCCTCAGTTTCAACTCTCTTGTATAAAAAGTTCGATACTAATTTCTTATGACTGGTCCATAATGTGAATTAGCATAATTTTTTTAATTTGTACTGTAAATATACTACTGTGAATTTTAAAGAAGAAAAATGATTTCCCTTTTGTAAGAGAATATAAAATCTATTACTGTGTACTGTAGATAATGGGGATTGTTGGAAGCTGAGAAACCACACGTTAGAACATTTAGGATCGCAAATATATTGTTTCAATTTAACTACCTATTATTGAGTTGTATATTATTTTTATACTTCTCAGCACTCTATATAAGTAATATTTTTCTATTCTTTTAAAACAGATCCCTTTTCAACGCTCCGAAAACCCAGAGAGACAGGAAAGGGGAAAAAAAGAAAAGGAGAAACCTAACCCCCTTTCAACTGTTTTTCAGTCTCTGCAGCGCCTAACTTTCTTTCTATGATCATCTCCTCTCCAATCTAATGGCATCCTTCAGTGATGGCGTCTCCTGCTATAATTGTTCAATATTGGCCTTCGTGGTTTTAGGGATTTTTGTCCAAGGTAAAATTTGAAACTTCTATTTATGCAAAAATGCACATACCCTCACAAAATCTGTAGGTATAGTTTCAAAACATAAAGTGCATTGATAATATTTCCTATACTTGTGAGAGAATTCCTGCTAAGGAATGATTAACAAGTAATATTAAGGAGGTCAATACAAAAGCGGTGCATTTGTTAGAAAGGTGATAAATGAAATCTCAATTGGATCATATGGTCCAGGGTCATATATAGTTTTGTTGCTGAAGTTTAGACAAGGCTAGATCTTCACTTTAGCTAGCCCAGCAAAAGATTCTGAATAGATTTAGATGAAGTATAATTATTGAAAGATATTGGAGTGATGGGAAGACATGGGAAGATATGCATGGGACACTATGGAGTGATTGATGGACCTAGTTGACATGGGTATGGTTCCCGTAATGGCTCCCTTAAATTAAGGATTAGTTGACTTGTTGATATGGTTTTTAGTTGTTTGATGTAATCCCTTGATTTAAGTATGTTGATAGCTTAGGGTTTACCAAGTTGTTAGAGTTGTTTAGGGAAAGGTTGCTTGTAACCAGTTCCCTTTCTGCTTCTTTATATTTTGCCTTGTACTTTCATTTATTCATCTATGAAACATACATTTCAAACCAACTTAAATTTCAACATGGTATTGGAGCAAGTTTTGTAACCTGCCTCTGGCCATTTTTTTTTTTTTTTGCTGCATCTCTCCTTCAACCTTAAGCCATGGCTGAAGAAGATTAAGTAAATATTGAGAGTGACATCTCTCATACATCTCCTTCAAATTTCTCGGACATTGAGGTTAACACAAATCAACATTTATGTTCAGCCTTGCTGAATGAGTTCAACTACCCACCTTGGTCTCGTGCAGTTTCACTTGCCCTATGAGGGAAAGGAAAGCTTGGCTTTGTAAATGGAAGCATTGTTATTGTTTTAGTCTGTTGTCTTAATCTGTACTTGATATGTTGTCTTAATACGATAATTTGTATTGCAAGGACTCTTGGTGATTATATTGCTAGCGGTCAGTTGAACAGCTTGTGTGTTCCAAAACGTTTACAAATTCTGAAACAAATTACTGAAGGCTTAGCTTATTTGCATTCAAAAGATATTGTCCATGGTGATTTAAAGGCAGATAATATCTTTGTTCTGGATGATGTTTGGAAGGTTGGGGACTTTGGCTTAGTTGAGATTTTGTTTGTATGTCTCTATTATAATGTCTTGTTTTTAGATTTTTTTTCTCTTTTTAATTTTGTGCAGCGCATAGAGGAGCACATGTCCAAGGTTATCAGAATGACTTGTAACATCTTGGTTTGATATTCGGTGAAGTTATGTTGGTGACCGATAATTCTGTGGAAGAGCATTCACAAAATATGTTCATGTTGAAGTCTTTTGGAGGGGTTTCAAAGCTTTTTCGTCCTGGAGTGTTTCGTGGGATATTGGAGGAACTTTTCGGCAGCTCTGGGGGACACCTTACTGCTGATTCTATTTTGTCATGTTTCGGTGGACTTAAGAAGTTAGCAGTAGCAGGTGAAAGTACTTGATGGAAAGCTTTATAGGTTTTATAGATATTGAATCTCAATAGAGTAAATAGTTCACATTGCACAATAATTCTGGAAACTTGTTTCTTTTGAAGTTCTAGAGTATATAGTTGATATTGCAATATATAAGTATGGAAACTTTTTTCTCTTGAATTTCTAGAGTATATAGTTGTTGATGTTACAGTATGTAAGTCTGAAAACTTGTTTCTCTTGATGTTATATATGGTATATAGTTGCCATTGGTAAGTCTGGAAAGTTGTTTCTTTGAAGATCAATAGATTGTGGTATAAAAAACTTGTTTCTCTTGAAGTTCTATATAGTATATAGTTGACATTGGTAAGTCTTGGAAAGTTGTTTCTTTGAAGATCTATAGATCTCTATAGTATATAGTTGACTTTGCTTTAAAATTGTTGTATTTCTACTCCATTGGGTACAAAAATACAAGTTTCCGTGAATTAGCTTAAGCTATACACCTCTTCACATAAGTAGACAAACTACATGCAAGGCTTGAAACTTTTGAACTCCTTGATAAAGAAGTGGTCGAGTTGCAACCCGTGTCGAAGGGTGGAATGAAATGTCATGTCCGGAGGGTGTTGTTGGGAAAAGTCAAGTCCAACAACTTTGTAGTGATTAGATTCAATAGGGTTACAAGCTAAGGCAGCTCAAAAGAAGTTTCGACCATTATGTTCGGCAGCCAATGGTCGAGGCTTTGCCCGTTGTTACATCTCTTAAGATTTATAAGAAGTAATAATTTGTTGGCTCATTTCCATTATTTGTTCTTGGGTTCAATATGCACTACTGGTCCCTCACCCAAGATATAATATTTTTGAATTTCTATCATCTATAGTGGATTTTTTTTCCCCATATATTCAATACTTTAAATTGGGAGGCAAGTTTTCTATTTCTACGTTTTGTACCTGGATTGAGATTGCACTTGGCACATCCAATTACTCATGCACCGTCTCTTTTACGTAGACGAGGAATTTTGTTAACACCAATTGTTCGCACCCTAAATTCGTCATGGGCATCGCAGACATGTCAGGAATCTACTCGAACAGGGAACTGGCAGGTTGAGAGCGTGCCACACTACTAGATGCCGCTAGTAGGCGGGATTTGAATGATTGAGATTGCGCCTGAGTTCAACTTCTAACCAAAAGATTGTGCCATTGAGTGGGAGTGGCTCAAATCCAGGTTCTTTCTTTGCCTTAAAGATAAGGACTTTACTTATATGGAGAAATGTAACAACAACTAAATGACAAGGTTGTTGGAAATTTAAATGACAGAGGAAAGTAAATGACTGGTATTGTAGAATGCTTGTGAACTAAATGACTGGAAATGAGTTGTACATAAACTACAAAGGAGATCGATACTACTGGATGAGTAGCAGAGCTTTTAAACTAGAGAAAGATAGGCTTTCTAAGGAGATCTAAACAAGAGATAGCTTGTTGCTAAAAATATGAGATTTTGGCTGATTACAGCTTTTGAATGCAAATCTGACTTAAGAGTAGAGTTTATATGTTTGTTTATTTGATTGATTGAGTATCCATAATCCTTTTGCCTCTGCTTCTTTATATAGAGATCTGAAAAAGCCCCCTGCTAAGAACAATGAACTTGCCCGAAAGAAGCTTGGCTAGCTTGCATGTGGAATAATATTTAAAAATGTCAACTTGCCTTTCCACCACATATTTCTAGCACATGTCTCCACCATTTACAATAAACAAATAATTAAAAGAAGCAAGCTGGCTTCTTTCACATGTCTTATGCAGGAATGTCTGTGTGCCTTCCAATTCACTTGAAAGCATGCAATTGTTTTGATTAAAGAAAGCTCTTGGCAAACCTCCACCACCCAAACAAAAGGGAAAAGTAATATTATAATGTCAAACTACCCCACTTGCATCCAAATATCTTTTCAAAGTAGTCTTTCTCTCAGATAATCCTCCAAATAACATATTTAGCCCGAATTGCCCAAATGAGTAAAAATAAGTACATTTTAGGTGCAAACACCAATTATTTGAAGGGAAGTGATGAGTGGTTTGTCGAGAATTCCCACTCGATTGTGAATTTTGCTCGAGGAGGAATGTGACATTGGCATAAAAGTAAGATCATGCGGTCACTTCCTTTGATTCACAGCATTTGTCTAGCTTTTTGGTCACGTGTGGGGGACATTCAGTTTAGTTATAAACTTATTTAGGTTATAACCCGAGCCTTAGTCAAGTGTGGCGGAGATTCAGTTTTGTTATCTCCCGCTCTGTATTACAAGTGCGAGTATGGTTTGAGGATCCTCCAGTTTCCTTGTCTTCTCCCATAGCTCTGGTGCGCGTGTATCGGTTTTATGCGTGTTTGCTTCCAAAAAAAAAAAAAAAAAAGAATTATTTGTAAAAAAGAGGGCAAAACCCTATAAGAAAGAGAGAAGGACGTAAAATTACTTTTCTTTTACATCTTTCTCACACACGACTAAACCAATTCAAGATATTTTTCGTCTCCTATGGCAAGAACCTTTGGCTGCGATTAGGTCCCATGCTCATCGCAAGTTACTGGATGTTCGACAATTTTTGCTTGGGTGTCCTGCCAAACCAAATTTTTTTCCTGTGCGGACTGAACTCTCATATGTATTTTTTTCCGATACAAGTAATAGTCTACACAAATTATAATTTGATAAGGCGTTACATTAAATGGTATTCTAATTAAGGCTTATTAATTGAAGGGAAATGATAAATACACACCTTTTATAACGTCCTACACACCCCTAGTTAATCATGTTCGTTGTTTTCATTTGATTTATTCAATTCGATGCCCTGGAACAAAGAGGGGTGTGGGAAAAGCTATAAAAGATGTGTGAAAATCAGCTCCCTTAATTGAAATGCCCTCTTAAAACTATCATTTAGTCTCAATTTACCCTACGAAACTGGTTTTGTCTCACTTTACCCCTTGAAATTGATATTTTCAACTCTTTTGGTCGCACTAACTGGGACGCCAGATTTTGGCTGCATGGCGCGGCAATGGTGTTGGATTTCCAATGGTAAAAAAAATTTGAATTTGAAATCTAACAGCTAGTGATGTGTCAAAATCTGGACCGTTTAATTTCCAAATCAACGGTCTAGATTTTTTGACAAATCCACTTTTGGGCTATTGGATATCAATCTTTTTTAAAATCCAAAGGTCCATATTAATTACTTAATAAAAATTGTTAAAAGATTATTAAAACTTGTTTAAAAATTACATTAAAAATGAACGAAAATTTATTATTATTTTTCTATAAATACTTGACCATTATCTTCCATCTTACACCACATTTCAATAGTGACATGTGGCGCGACGAGATTGATTTAAAATCTTATCGGAAATCTATCTACAAAAGTAGTATTTTTGGATAATGACACGTGGCCTTACAAGATCAGTTAAAAATCATATTCAAAATTAAAAATAAAATTATTTTGATTATTTTATAATAAAAAAATTTAATACGAATTGACTAGACTCTTGCCCAGCTCATTTTTTAGGATGGAGATGCATTTGGCCAATTACTGTCTATTAGAGTCAATTATTATTCATTAAGGTGGATTAAATGAATTTTGGGCCAGTTCGTTTTTTATGGGTAGAGTTGCTTAATTGAATGATAATTACAACAGTATATTATTTTTTTAATTATAATTAGAGTTAATTTCAACCATTGGATTGTTTCAAATTGATCTGTGCCATCCATTCATTGTTAGGGTTCTCCAGCCTTCTCTGAGTTCTCTCCATTCATTTCAATTTTGAAGCATTTACGACTCCAGGGAATTCTCTCTCCCGACCGGAAAACGAAGATCTACTTAGCTTGCTCGAATCAAGTAAGTGTTCTGTTCCTTTTGACATTCCAAACAATACCCATTTCTTCTGCCTCACCCTTTGTCCAAACCCTCCATTTATTTTGGCCTTTTATCCCCACTCTGTTGCCATTTCAGTCTGCAAGTTCATACCTCAGGACTGTGAATCTGGAGCGAACTTTGCTTAAATTTAGTCGGTTTAGTTTAAGTGGGCTTCTGTGTCTCTGAACTTCATAATTCGGATACTATTTTTTGCATTTTTTTGCGGGATTGAAGAATGTTAGCTTATCTGCCTGCTGTTCATTGTCAAATGGGTAAAATCTGTAGTTCTCTGTTATCTCTTTTGTATGGGGTGGGGTTGGATCTACTTTAGTTACAGTGACTTTGTAAAATAGATTTGTTGTGAAATTATGCAGTAAATTGTATTGTGGGGTTTTTTTTTATATGTTGCTCACCACCTGTTTGATAAAATAAGAAACGGTATATTTTTCTTGCCTATGATTATTGAATACAAGAAACTGAAGAAGGTATTTTTGCGCGTAGTTCGGTAATATTTTGGGTTTTTTCGCAGAATCATGTTAACCGCAGATGGGAAAGTTCAATTTTTTTCCATTTCATATTTCAATTTGGAATTCTTTATTTGTCCTGAAATCTCGAAAATATTTCGGGTTTCTTGAAAATTTGGTTTTGAATTGGTCTTCAAATTCTTGTTCTGAAAAATTTCGATTTGAAATTCAGGATACTAGTTTCGATTCAGTATCTCATACTGAACCAGCCCCAATTTTAACCACTAATTTGTATTTTCTTTTTTCTCAATCCAATAATAAATAATATAAAGAGAGTAACTGGGTGGGATAGTAATAATAATTGCAGATTTGCACAAAACGTTTTGAAAATTTTATTTGGTAAAAGTAATTAGTGGGGGTTTTAATACAATAATTTGGTGAGTGGAGTTTTATTAATATATAACTAGCATATGGGGCCCACATAAAGTGTGAGAATATTTTTTATTTTTGTTTTTGAGATAGAATGAGAGAGGAAGAGAGTGATAGAGAATGTGGGAGTGTGAAGTTTTTTTTTTTAATTTTTTTTAATTAGATATATGTTAGGATGACATGTATGTGAGGTTTAGTAAAAAAAACAGTAAAATTTGATTATGTGAAATTACATTTCTGTCTCATATTTCTTATTCATGTTCTGTTTTAATTAGAGAGTTAAATTAGTAATTTCATAAGATTTAAATTGACAATAAATGTTTTATTAATTAATAGAGATTTAAATTATAGATAGCTTTCCAATTCCTCCAAAAATAACGTAGAGAAAATCCAACCAACGAAATATTTAGCAGACCAAAAGGCAGGGACCTCTTAATTATATTTAGTAGACATTTAATATTACTTTAATGATAAAATTTTAATTAGAATTAGATGTATGTTCACCTTGGTCAACGTGTATTCGCATCTCTCTCCAAACTCTCTCCTATTTAAGCCCTCTCTCCCGTTTCATTTACAAATCTTCAACACCAACCCTACCAACCCTACCATCCTCTCTCCTACTTCTCACTCTGCCTCTATTTAAACTCTCTCCCGTTCCATTTACAAATCTTCAACTACCTCTACCAACCCTACCACCCTCTCTCCTCCTCCTCACTCTGCCTTATTACCTCTCTCCACCGCCTCTCCCAATTGCTTGTCCACTCTCTTTTTGCCAACCTAAATCATCTCCTCATCCACCACTGCACCGCTCCATCACGTTTGACCGACCACCGTCGATTTCCACCATGAAGAGTGAATTTTGGAGGCCTAAGGTTTGCTAGATTTTTACAATCTTTTTATTACTATTTTTTTAATTACCAAATAATACTCATTTTTTGTATGTCTACATTTTTTTTTTGTTTTTGACGTATATTTAAATTTGGCACAAACTGTACTGGACTAAAGAGATTAAATCTTTGGGTTGGGACCGATTTTTAAATTCTGCTTTTATTGAGAGATTTGGGATTTACGGTCCATTTGGGCTTGGCCTGATTTTTAAACTCTCATTTTTTTTTTCGATCCATTTCACCACCATCATTTTTCAGTGTACCATTTTTCATTTCCCTCTCTATTTCTGAGCTTTGAAAACTTCAGCAGGTTGAATCTTCTTTTGATTTTCTGGTATTTTCCCTCTATGAACTTTGATTTTATGTTCTAGTTCGCAATTGTTTCTTATGAGTCTAAGACTTTTCAAATTTTCCTTTTCTTGATCTATAAGAGAACTCTAGGAGATTCGATCTTCAATTTTTTATTCTTTTATAAATTTCAATTTTAAGTTCGCATCTACATGTTTAATCATCCTATCGGCAATTTTTCCATTCTTTTATAGATTTCGTTTTAATTTTGCAATTACATGTCTAATTGTCCTGTTCTTTTGTAAGGTAATATTTCAATGGGAATTTCGAGTCGTAATTCTAGCCAATCTGAAGTTGATGGAGGAAAATATAAGCATGAATGCTCTTCTGAGCAGAGTATACAGAAAATCTTTTGTTTGATTTGAATTTTTTTTTTCAGTGTTTTCTAGGTTTAATTTGTATCTGTTTTGGAATGATGTTTGCTTTATTGAACATGTTAGGATTTGGTATTATGGAGTTGTTCAAATCTGAAGAATATTCTGACATAATTGGTTAGTATTTTTATTTGTTTTCTGTATTGGTGTTTTTGTTGGTAATGTGAGCTTCTGAAATATAATTATTATTTGTTTGCATAATATTTTATATTATCTATTTATTTTATGTATTTTTGTGTTTATTTAAAATTCGTACGAAATCAAATGCCCAAGAACCGGAGGTTAATTTGCAAATTGTCTTTTCTTGGTGGTAAACTGAGTATCTATCATACTTTGTTTGAGGAGATTAGATTTCTTTGTATGCAGTTAATTCTATTTGTTTTGCAAAGTGTCTTTTCTTGGTGGTAAATTAAGTATCTATCATACTTTGTTTAAAGACAAATAGAATTAACTGCATACAAAGAAATCTAATCTCCTCAAACAAAGTATGATAGATACTCAGTTTACCACCAAGAAAAGACACTTTGCAAATTAACCTCCCGGTTCTTGGGCATTTGATTTCGTACGAATTTTAAATAAACACAAAAATACATAAAATAAATAGATAATATAAAACATTATGCAAACAAATAATAATTATATTTCAGAAGCTCACATTACCAACAAAAACACCAATACATAAAATAAATAAAAATACTAAACAATTATGTTAGGAGTTTTGAACAATACCAAATCCTAACATGTTTAATAAAACAAACATCATTCCAAAACAAATACAAATTAAACCTAAAAAAAAAAACACTGAAAAAAATAAATTTCAAATCAAACAAAAGATTTTTTGCATACCCTGCGAAGATTCATTAGAAGAGCATTCCAAATATGTGCTATGCTTAAATTTTCCTCCATCACCTTCAGATAGTCTAGAATTACGACTCGAAATTTCTATTGAAAGATCATCTTACAAAAGAAGAGGACAATTAGACATGTAACCTAAAATTGAAATTTATAAAAGAATAAAAAATTGAAAATCAAATAAAGATCGAATCTCCTGGAGTTCTCTTAGATCAAGCAAGAAAAGGAAAATTTGAAAAGTCTTAGACTCATAAGAAACAATTGCGAACTAGAACATAAAATCAAAGTTCATAGAGAGAAAATACCAGAAAATCAGAAGAAGATTCAACCTGCTGAAGTTTTCAAAGCTCAGAAATAGAGAGGGAAATGAAAAATGGTACATCTGAAACATATATATTGTTAGGGCTGTGGTTTGGTATGGGATACCGAACCGAAAACCATGTCCCAAACCGAAGTTTTTGTGAATCCCAATTTTAAGATCGATTCCAAACCCAAAATAGTTTTTGGACAATTCGGGAATCCCGAAATAGTGACCAATGCATAAATTGCCTTAAGATTTGCTAAATTGAAGTAACAAATGACAAAGCTATAGCTGACTGACCTTATGCCAAATCCCTCGAGCTCTTTTTCAATTAGACGCAATAACTTTATAAAACCTGAATTGGTAGCAAATGATGCAATAACTTCCAGACTAAATATTATGGAAATAACTTACCAACAAGAAAAGCTCTTTAGCCCCATTAAAAAGAAAAATAACAGGTCGAGGAGGACCCCATCCAGAATCCACCATTAGCCTTGCTATTTCCAGCATTGATGGTGCAAAAGAATAGAAAAATAAAGAAAATGACATGAACATGCAAGAAATGGTTCAAATCAAGTGAAAGTTTGTTTCCACACCTACACATGAACCGCAATCAGTAGCACCTGGGGAAGCAAGTGGACTGTCAAAATGTCCATTTAACAAAACTTATGGTTCATTGTCGTGTGAATATACTGACGATATCCTGCCATTGAATACAACTTAATGTGAAGTGAAATTTACTAAACTGCAGCAAGATGAAAACATCAATGCCACTACATTACTCATAATATTCTTAAAACTTTGACCAAAACAATAGATACTTATAGCGACGGCAATGAGTAGTGACAAAACTAAGACCGGCAGCATATTGACAAGAATTTTTTATGTTTTTTTGGGTCAAATATTGACAAGAAATTAAAGTAATCGAAAAATGTGTATAGTTTACCTCATCACAACATTTGTGTGGTTTCTGTAACAAAGAGAAACAATCTTCTATCTCAATTCTGCAAGTATAAAAATTTAGGCACCATTGCCACACGAAACTCGGATAAACAATGAATAAATAAAAAAAAGAAATAATCTTTATAGTGTATTACATGTAAAGTTGTGAATGCCAATGAATTAAGTATTGGATTACTTGTGTTGTAAGCCACTAGTTTATCGAGTTGTTAACAACATAAGTAATCTGATAGTCCTGGTGAAATAAGGATTATGGAGTCTTAACCTTTGCAATTCACCTCAAAGAAATCTAATAGGTTTCACTACAAAGATATAGAATCATGGTAGGACTCAATCACTTAAGTGATAGGGTTTGATTTTCACAACCAATAATAGGCTGGCTGTGATTAAACTCTAATGATATAAATACTATGGTTAAGTCCCTGCTTCCATACACTTAATCTTTCAGATACGCTGAACCCTATTCATATAGCAGAGAGATATTATTGAAGTACTGGAAGTAGAAGACAACTTGTGAACTCAAGCCACCATGTCTCCTATCGGTGCAGGTTAGTGTCATTCATCTTCTTCTTGTAATGATCATGATGCAATTGTGATCCTAGAACCATGTTGTATTAGTCCACCTTACATTACAGACCTAACATTGGACCTAGCTCGTTCCTTTATCATATCCAATTGCCCTGTAATGTACCGAGCGGCTTCGGTCAAGCCAAGACGCCCTTCCTATCAACAAATTAGGAAATTGCAAATAAGCATCTCAACCCAAAACTTGTCCCCAATCTCTCCAATAGAAATTACAATGACGAATTCAAATCAAACCCAGAAAAAATCACAAATTGTT